AAAGCAGCAGATTGTTTTCATACCGGAAAAAGCATGCTGAAAAAAAGCAGTAGGATCCTGCAGATTCTATTACTAGATACTATCCCTTGTCCCCCAGGATTTATTATGGGAAAAATAGATACCCATGCATGCCATGAATATATCTTTACCTTTTAGAATGTAAAGCAGGATACAAATCTAACAGTTAAATGAACTTAGACATAACCAAGGTGTGCTAAAACAAAGAGATCCATGATTCAACTCTAGAGTACAAAAAAGAACTTTTGAAGACACTGACCACTTGATTAATGAGGGGTAAAATTACCAAAGCTATTCTTCCAAGAGATAAATAGGCAGAATACTTAAAACAAAATGACCACGATAGATATCCAAGAAACGTTTATTTGCTGTTGCTTCAGGATTTGACCTTCTGATTTAAATGATCTAGTTTAAGATATTATCATGAATTGCTTAACCAGAGTAGGGATTTAGATGGGCAATTTCTCTTACACATCCTGCATTTTCATTATTATACAATGTACATTAACAGTAATATTCTGGACATTCAATGTACACATTGAAGGTACAGAATACTACTGTTCATGTTTTGATCTAACTGCTCAAAATCTCCTATTCATGGGTTGCTTATTATGAAACAATATAATCTACATATTAAACAAAGTAGCAGAATGAAATCCAGAAAAATACAAATTATACAGTGTATGTGCACATGTACGTGTCAGTAATGATCTCATTAGTTTTAGGTTTTCACCTAGAGGAACTATCCATTGGTAATGGATTTTCAAATATAACATAAGTATTTTTTGTTATATCAGATAACTTAGATTGTACATGATATCATAAGTGGAAACAATAATCCAGAGATTAATGATAGAACTGTGTGTCTTTCTCCCCCCCCCCCCCCGAAATAAAATAAAAATAAAATAAAAACCACTTCTTGTAGTTGAAGAAGAAGGAGTTGGCTCATATGCAAGCACTGGCAGAAGAGTGGAAAAAAAGGGATAGAGAAAGAGAAGCCTTGGTAAAGAAAAAAGTAAGTGCTTTCACTTTAGAATTCTCATATGTCATTGTCTTCTGAGACCATTTACCATGATAAACTTTGAATAGAAGCAGTGTCAAGAATTTTCTGTAACTGATAAATTGCATAAAAATACTATCTCATTTTGAAACAGTACAGACTTTATTACTATTCACATGTTAAGCTGCATTATTCTTTATTCTTCTTAAGTGTGTAAAAAAGACAGCTGACGCGTATGTTTTCTCTAAACCATAACGAAGGTGCAGGGAATCTATTTCTGTTGTCCAGCCATCCATTTCTTTGTAATATATATCAGGTTTAACATTCAAGTAATAAATGTTAAAAATTAAAATATTTTTAATGTTGAATGTTAAAATGTTTTTCAAAGTCTAATATGTGTGAGCTCTTCTTCCCAGAATATAACAAATTCAGGATATGGCAACATAAGCTTCAATGAAGCATTATTCTCATTGTAACAACAGAATGATTTATTCATTCATTTTATACAAATGCAAAGGGTTCACCAAGTCTGAAATAAATAAATCAAACACAGAATTATAGTCTAGGATCCTTTGATATATATTTTTTGATACAGAAATTAAGGAAGTCTGCCATTGTTAGAAAAACAATATTGACACTTCAGAATTCAGTATGTATGGAAGACCTAATTGTGCATCTTTGCACAATTGGCTCTCTGTGATAATATTAGTTTTCCTCAAAAGCATAAATCCTCTTTCTGTACTGCTTCTTCAAACTCCAGCATTAATTAGAGTATCAAAATTATGAGACATATCAACTAAAATAGTCAACTAAAAGGGCAGTATTTAGGTTACATTTTTAGAAATATTTCAATATTTCCCATTTTGTCCATTTTACTTTCTTCTGTATATATGCCTTAGGTTGCAGAGTATACAGTTTTGGAAGAAAAACTTCAGAAAACTTTAACTGACTTAGAAAAACGTGAAAAACAGCTGGTCAGTGCTGAAGCTGAGGTAAATGGATGCCAAACTATGCTATCCATTGTACAGTACTTTCTTTTTTTAAAAAAAACAATATTTTTGTCACAGTGATTGCCAATCATTTTAGGTGTTTTATTACTATAATTTTTGCCAGCAATATGGATTTGGTTTTTTTCTTCGCAGATCCTTTGAAAATTGGCATAAAATACAATATTTTATTTTCTATGTGTAACTTTTGCTGATTGACAAAGGTATAACTTTTTATTAAATGTTCTAAGACCTATTTCAAGCTCTCTAAATGAAGATAACTGAATAAAGTGATATTGTAGTTTATTAAAAAGTTAAAATTAGCTACATGCAGTGATTTTGAAAGTACAAAGAAACAAATGGACACATTAATAAAGTAATGCCAAATGTTAAGTTGTTCAAATGTGAATGCGTGTATTCAAACTGCTTTTATAAAAACTCATGTTAAGCTCCAGCGGTTAAAGAAGGAACTCCAAGCAGAACATGAACGAAATCAGCGAGAAGTTCAGGATACAATACGACGAGTCAGACAAGAATGTGCACACCAGATTGAGCTGGAAAGGGCGAGAATTAGGCAATTTGAAGAGGGCAAGATCCGTGCACAAGAACAAGTACGAATTGTTTATATTTTCCGACATAGCTAAATTATTAATACTAGAAATAGATGTAAATTTTAAAAGTAAATGTATTAGTGCTATCCGTTTGATTAATGCATGCCTAAATCAGCAGTCACCAACCGGTGGTCCCCGGGTGAAAATTTTGGTGGTCCGCAGAAAAATGATTTGCATTTTTTATATTGCACTAAATACTATTTACCTTTTTAAAAGATATTAGTGATATTAGTGCATTTAAAATTATGAATGTAATGGTCTCTGAGGTCCAAAAGTTGGCGACCCCTAGCCTAAATTGTCTAAGAATTTTATTGCTTACTGAAGCATCTCTTTCTTTAATTCTGAAGATCAACTATATATTTAACACTGGTTTCTCAATTGGCCAGCCTCAAACTTTGGGGGGACTTGACATTAAAAACCTCATGGAGCAGCATTCTTGTATCTATTACATTTTTGTTTCTTTTGGTCATGTGAATTGTATCCACATGCATGTGTATATTGGGGGTAGCCTTGTAGGCATTATTTTTTTCCTAGTCCTATGTTGTTTTAATCTTCAATGCAGCCATTCATAATCAAAGCCATGCATTGTTTTCATATTCAGTAATTAAATTATTAATATAAAATGTAAGGATAAGACATACAATGTCAGCTGATGATAACAAAAAGATAAAGTCAAGTAAAAAGCAGTACATGTTCTCCTCTTCCTCCACTTGAAACAAGAACAGAAATCCTTCATATTTTCTAAGAAAAAAGTTCCACACAAAGACAACATTAAAAATTGTTTTTAGTGGTCAAGCCAAACATCTGGCTATACTATCCATAATACAGACATTAACTCCCACATTCTCACCATAACATTTTTATCTTCAAATATTTGCTTCTTTTTTTACATACTAGGGAAGTTTTGAAATTCTCTGATTTGACTTCAGATATCTCCCCCCCCCCTCGCTCTGTTTTCTAAGTTGTATCATGTAGCTAGTGTCTTTTTGTGCATTTGGAGACAAAAGATATGTTTCATATGCAAGTAAGAAGCCTTACTACTACTGCAGAAACTAAACTATAATGCTGTAAGTTAATCAGAGCTGAGATTGATTAATTAAAGCCATTTTGTATTTAATTATCAGTGTTGTTTTGTGGCAGAAAGTCCAACAGCATGTATACACATCAGCCACAATATATCTAGATTCTGTTGAGTTTAACTTGCAGTTAAGTAACTTTCCTAAGCAAGGTATATGTACTGTTCCCAAGAATGGTTTTATTCTACCCAGTGATGAAGAAATAATGGAGCTAAATCCATGTTGCCAGAGGACTGTGTTTGATGCACTATAATTTTCACTTTCTGTTTTTCCTCTAAATCTGTATTTCTGGAGGACTTCATAAGCTTTGGAGAATATAAGCACATATTATAAATGTAATATGTGTTGTGTTGGCCAAAAAAAATGTTTCTCTCAGATCTGTGTTATCCAAGTGTTAAATACATTCAGGTTATTTGTTTTTGAAAACAGCTATATGAGACAGAAAACAAGCATAAGGCTCTGGAGAAAGAATTTCAGCAATATAAGGAGCAACAGAGTAACCGACCGGAAATCCGACTGCAATCAGAAATAGGCATTCTAACTTTAGAGAAGGTACAGCTATCAACTTCTAATCCCACCTCCTTTTCAATTATATTCATTCCTAAAGCACATCATGCATTAATTGCATAGTAACTCACTTAAGAAAATCAGGAAATCAATTTTACGTTTGACGGCAGCCAAAATGTGGACAAAGCAAAGTAATATTTACTGTACAGAGAAACTGCCAGTGATAGTATCCTTCTGTAAGCTGTGACTTATTTATTAATTTATTGGTGTATTTTTCAAATTATTTTATTACTGATAACTACAAAATCATGATTCATTCTTTGTCAAAGCTTTGTTTTGATGACTTAGGACATTAGTTTTCTAACCTATTAACCTAATATTAGGGTCTATAAGCTACCAATAGTATAATTCAGTTTTTCATAGCTAAAGCAGAAGTATGTTTAAGAATGAACTATTTTAGAAGTCCAAATGTCAGTATTACTATAAGAAAGAAATCAAAAGAGAGTACCACTTTCTGTTAATTTTGAATGCAGGTAGTCATTTATTACAGAAATGTAATCTTTCATACTGAGGATTTAACCTTACAGTCTGAACAAATGGAAAACAAACATTAACTGCAATTCACTGATAATACATACAAAGACATTTCATACTCAATTAAGCTAAAAAATGAATAGCTGGTGTGTATTTTACAAAAATAAATGTTATCTAACTCCTTTGAAATATTTAAAAACTGTTTATATGAACTGTCTTGGAATGCAAATCAATCTAGTTTTGCTTTGTTTGACAATAAAAATAAGGTTCTTGCTTAAACAAGAATATTATTTTATGTCACAATATTTATATCAAGTTGCATAACAGTTTAATGGTGCATATTGTACTAAGCAGCTTTTGGAATCCAAATTCTGCGTAACTGATTGTGTAAAGATTATTTCAGGTTTTTTTACTGTAGTGTATATTAATAAAATTATTTTTTACTAGGGGGATCTTGAAAGAAAGTTGGAATCGGCTACTAAAGCAAAACTACATTACAAGCAACAATGGGCACGAGCTTTGAAGGAACTAGCAAGACTAAAACAGGTGTGTAATAAAAATAAAGTAAATAAATACACAAGGAATTTATCCATAAGGGAGGTAGGGATTGCTGGATAAATCTAATAATTGATCTAGTCAAGCATCCATGATTATTCTTTTCATCAGCTTTTAATTTTCATTCGCTATGGAATGAAAAGTTTTATTAGATTGTACTTCACTCTACTTTTCTGAAATTGCATGTTTGATTATACTCCTTTACGTCAAATGTGCAATGTATCCATTTCCTTCTAATTTCTATTGTAGACAAATTATAAGTAAAAAGTGGTGCCTAAATTAAAGATGGCTTGCCTTCTTTGAATTTGTGACAAGAAATTTATCCTTTCAGAGGATAAATTTCAGATATGTTTCAGAATCCTGAAGCACTGGGGAACTACCAGAGGACTGAAAAAGAGCTGATGTGGTTCCCATCTTCAAAAAAGGGAAACAAAATAGACCGAGGAAACTACAGACCTATCAGCCTGACCTCAATACCAGGGAAGATTCTGGAAAATATAATCAAGCAACAAATTAGCGAACACCTAGAAGTAAACAAAGTAATAGCCAAAAGTCAACATGGGTTTGTCAAAAACAGATCATGCCAGACTAATCTTATTGCATTCTTTGACAAAGTGACAAAATTAGTGGACCAGAGGAATGCCATCAATATAATTTACTTGGACTTCAGTAAAGCATTTAACAAAGTAGACCATAACCTACTATTAGATAAAGTAGAAAAATGTGGGTTAGACAGCATCACCACTAGATGGATTTGTAACTGCATCTACATGGAGGGAAGTATGCAGTGGAGTACCCCAAGGCTCTGTTTTAGGCCCAGTACTCTTCAAAATCTTCATCAATAATTTGGATTAGGAGATAAATGGGGAACTCATCAAATTTGCAGATGACACCAAGCTGGCAGGAATAGCCAACACTCCAGAAGATAGGTTTAAAATACAGAAGGATCTTGACAAATTTGAACATTGGGCACTATCTAACAAAATGAAATTCAATGGTGAAAAAAGTAATATTCTACATTTAGGCAAAAAACCCAAAATGCACAGGTACAGTATATGTGGTACCTTGCTCAGTAGTAGTAACTGTGAAGAGGATCTTGGAATCCTGGTGGACAACCATTTAAATGTGAGCCAGCAGTGTGCAGCAGCTGCCAAAATGTTAACACAGTTCTAGGCTGCATAAACAGAGGGATAGAATCAAGATCAACGTGAAGTGTTAATACCACTTTATAATGTCTTGGTAAGGCCACACTTGGAATACTGCATTCAGTTTTGGTCTCCACGATGTAAAAAAAAATGTGGAGACTAGAAAGAGTGCAGAGAAGAGCAACAAGAATGATTAGGTGATTGGAGGCTAAAACATATGAAGAACAGTTGCAGAAAAGAAGGACTAGGGGAGACATGATAGCAGGGTTCTGATATCTCAGGAGCTGTCACAAAGAAGAAGAAGTCAAACTATTATCCAAAGCACCTGAGGTTAGAACAATTAGTTGGACAGTTAGAACAATTAATCAGTGAAACAACTTGCCTCCAGAAGTTGTGAATGAAGTGAAGAAGATGTTGGATAACAATTTGTCTGAAGTGGTATAGGGTTTCCTGCCTTGGCAGGAGGTTGGGCTAGAAGACCTCCAAGGTCCCTTCCAACTCTGCTATTCTAAATTTTCTAAATTTTTCTAAATTTTCTAAATTCTAAATTTTTCTAAATTTTCTAATTTTTTTTATCCAAGAATAGATATGGTTGTGCCTTTCAAAACATAAAACTTTAAACTTTAAAGAAAAAATATAGACAGTAGTCTTGATAACATAACAATAGCAAGAACATGCTTTCCTTTATATTGGTGGAACCAAAGCTACAATCCACAAAATTACTTTATTGAATAACCTATTGGAAGTACTAGCAAAATAATGTTTAAAGTGTTGCAATAGATTTCATGGTTGGAGAGAAGAGCAGTGCCTACTGATATCCTCTGTGCCAAAACTCAATATAGAATGATGCATTTTTATGATGCAAATTGTAATCTGGAATATTATGTTATTATCCTGACTTAAAATGGTAATTTGATAATGTAATTCTGATGTGCAAGTGGATTTGTTACCTGCAATTTCATTTATTGCATTTATTACAGACTTAAACAAAGCAGACTTTGTTATCTGTGGTAAATGTATTTACCATTTTGGATGTCATTTTATAGCAAAATAGTGAACTGAATTTTGCATATACAGTAGTATTTCAGTATTAATTATTAATTGATTCCGGGAGGCATACTGAATACCAAAAACAATGAATATCAAACAAATTAGGAACCGAGCCATGGAAGCAGTGAGTGAATGAAGCAAAGCTTCATCTGCCCATGTCCAGAATGCAGGTTGTGTGCAAAATCATGCCCCTTCCCTTCCCCAGCCGTGGAAGACAATTTTTCTTCCATAACTAAACCTTCGTGACAGAAAATCTGGGGGCCACTGCCTAGCACAATTATAGTTAACCTATTTGATGTAATTTTAACGTACAAGGGAAAGTACAAATTATATAAATATTTGTACGCTTAACCAATTAAAATAAGATTTTTAAAATTTCTGAGCATACCTTTTTCTTTTCTTTTGAGTTTATGCTAAAGTTAAGCTTAAAGATTCTTCTATTATTGAAATTCAAATTTTGTGGATCTTAAGGAATATTAAGCCTGCTTAAAGTTTTATTATTTGTGTCTGTGTGTTTGTGTTTAATTTTGGTTAATATCATTAATTTCACATTGATTCCCATGAATAGCCAGCAATTTTTGCCAAAAATGTGTCACTCCAGAACTCTCTGGAGATCTGCACAAAACATTTGTATAGTGAGAATTAGACACAGAAAACAGTATCTTGGATTGTTAATAAATATTAATGATAAAACCTAACTGACAAAATTTTGGAAAGGGGATGAAATGCTTTGTGGCTACTGCCAAAGAACTGTTTAGAAAGATTTCTAATAATAAATGAAAGGCATAATAAAGATATGAGTTACAGGATATCATGTAAAATATGCAAGTATTTTGCATAATACCCTTCTATATAATTACTAGCTTCTACTCCCAATTTTCTATGCTGAGGGCAATAACAGTCCTTTCTACTGGAATTATTAAAATATAAAAATTAAAATTTACATATTTCTACTGCAGAAAAATGTAACATAATGCTAGTGTTAATTAAGTATAATTACAGCAATTAGTTTTAAAAGTTGGTGTCAATTAAATAACTATAGTCATCTGCAATACTGAGACAAGATTTTAAACCTTGATTTACTGAATAAGCCAAAAACAAACAACATTATGTAGGAGTCAGAGATAACTGATGTACAGGTAAGTCTGCATTTTCTGGCTGGAAAACTCATAGATCGCTGCTATAGGAGGAGAGCCATGTAAATTGATAGCATCTTTTCCAACTAACGAATGTTACTAAAATGCATAAGCTTTTGAGAGTTACAGCTTATTGAAATGGATCTGATGAAATTACCTGAAACTCATGAAAGTTTATGACTTTTAATTTTAAAAAAGTTTAAAATGGAGCCACTAGGCTCCTGATAGATTGCTACAGAATTGCAGCTATTGTATCCTTAGGGATGAGAATGACATCACAGAATGCATACAGAATACTTCCAATATTTGGTTTCTCAAATTGAAGCCTTCTAGATGCATTGTGGTGGCAACTCTTAGAATTCTCAACCAATATTAGGCAACAGAAGTTGGAAAAGCCTAGATGTTTCATAAAATTGCTCTCACAAATTGGCATGGCTTACATGATTTGAGAATGGGGATTGGAATTTGTATAGGCTCATGCAGAGTTTTCAAGGATATGGAATATGGTGGGTCTTGGGGTTCTGATCTAGGGCTTGCCATTTCCTGGTGTATCCTGGCTTGATCCTTGCAATTGTAACAGCGTATTAATAAAATACAGTGGATAACTGACATGGTTCTTATTTAACAACTACAATCTGCCCTGGACCAACTTTGGGGGGAATTATAAGATAATAAATCAACAGTAGTTGGCCAGCAGAGTAAGGCTGGAGAATACAAAAAGATATTGCAGAAAAGTTGGTATTTAAGACAAATGTGCCAGATACATTCTGGAGAAAATGGCAAACCTTCCCTTTCAAAATTTATATGTTCACACCGCTTAACATTGAGGCAAGGTGATTAGATTTGCATTTTGAATCTGTACTCTTTACAGCAGTTGCAGAAATTATTATTTTTCATGATGTTCCTGTTTATATAATGCAAGTGAACTCCTGACTAAAAAGGGGGACTTCCACTTGGAACATAAAAAGAAATCCTCAGATAATCAAAGTGTGTATGTCAATATGTAAAATTAAATTTATTGCAGAATTTACATAATCAAAATATAATGGATTCTCATATGCATATTAATATTCCAGATTGAGTTTTTGTCAAGAACGTTACTTTTGTTAATATAAGAAACCTTAAAATTAGAAAACTTACAGCATATGGCTTTTGAAGTTATAGCTAGAAAGAATGTTGCAATCCAACTTGGTGATTACAGAAGGATCTGTCTGGATTTTGAATGTTTCTGTAAAAACTCCAAAGTATGTACATTTGAGATAAGTGGTTATTAAAGAGTTTAAGTCTTACCCTTTTTGTACTATATGGGGGATTTGTCTGCAGCACAAGCAGCACATTTGTTTTAAACAAACACAGACTTTATTGGCTGACACTGTCTCTATCTTGTCCAGCCTCCTGCTTATCCTCTCAAAGTAATTAATGTGATTAATTTACAAGTAATTTAGCCAAGAAGAGGATGTAAATCTTTCCTTAAAAAAACAGTTAGAAGTCCAACTCTTAGTTAAAAACTGTGTCTTGAAACCATCCAGACCCTCCTACTAACTTGTCAGCTTTAGGTTATTTTCAGAAAACTTGAGTTGAGTTGCTGCGACTTATTTGTACAGGTTTTTTTCCCACAGATTTTTTTGGGGGTATGTGCAAAAGGGAGACAGAATAGTCACTGCTATTTAGCCATTGTTTAGTCTAGTGTATGTATGTTTACATCTTCCCTCTAGATTTATAAGCTGCTATGAAAAAATAAAGATCGTTCTCAATTTGTAGAATTTCTTAACTATGGCACCTGGTAGCATGCAAGGATGTTTCCAGAACTGTTTTTAACATTAGTAATTTTATTATATGTTTAATTTGTTGTTGTTGACATAGAGTCTAGAAGTCCAAATGAGACAGTTCAGACAACATAAAATATCTTACTTTGTAATTTTGTAAATTTACTGCTAGTTAAATAGAGAAAACATTAGAAATATAACAGAAGTATAACTAAAAATATTATTCTGCTTCTTTCTACAGAAATAAAGAACCAGTGTCTAGTTAGTGTACTGCATACTTGCCTTCAGATTTTATTTCATTCTAATACAGTAGGCTAGAATATACAGGAATAAGAGAGAGAGAGAGAGAGAGAGAGAGAGAGAGAGACAGACTGTTGTTTAGATTTTCAAATGAAAACTCATCTGATTACAAAGCTTCCTTTTTCTGTTCAATCCTTTTGCAACTGACATGTGCCATTATTGAGAGTTTCTTCTGTAATATTTTCTATCAGGTGATACAAGTTGCTGGAATGAGAAGTGTTTAAATATGTGTAACACTGTGCTTCTGCAACCAAAGAATTTATCTGGTGTTTCTGGTGTTACTACATGTTGATAATGCCATTCAACAGTCTTGAATCAACAATTATTTCCATTCTTCAAGTTCCATTCTTCTTCATGTAATGAAAATGGAAATAATTTCTTAGTCTTTTAAGAATTGCAGAAGAATCATGGATTATAGCTCTGCAGGGCAATAAAGATACCTCTGGAAAGCTGCTAGATCAGATTTGATAGCTTTTAATATTTGCAGACAGCTCTGAAACATTGAAACAGCAAGTTTTAGGAAATTAGCATAGTAACTATTTTCTATCAATATGTGATAAATAAATACATTTTAAAAAATACACATATTCATTAATTTTTATCCTGCCTTTATTATTTTTATAATAATTCAAGGCAATAAGTCCGCAATACTTCTTCCTGTTATTTTCTTCACAACAATTATGTGAGATGGGTTGTCTGAGAGAGACAGATTAACTCAAAGTCACTCAGCTGGTTTTCCTGACTAAGATGAGACTAGAACTCACAGTCTCCTGATTTTGAGCTTGCTGCCTTAACCACTAAAGCAAACTGGCTCTCCTGAGATCACTGAAATGGCTTTCCAGAAGTCATTAGTTTGAACACTAATGTATGTATAATAAATACACTGCACATATAAGAGTGTACTCAAAATTTACAATATTCCAATTGGCCCCATGCTAGCATAGGGACAGTGGCAACTTGACACAAGAGTCTTCCTTTTTTCCGTAAGTTCTCAAAAATAGATGAGGTGGTAATCCATATCTGACATTCCCTCTACATAAAATTGGCCCAAAGAACAACTTTAAAAAAAATCAAATATGAAATACTTTAATATTTATACTCCCATTTGCAAACAATGGGAAGAGATTAAAAAAAAATCATCAAGTTGCCTGGACCAAGAAACTGAACCCAGCAAAGAAACAGGCATGACTTCACTTCAAGAAAACCTTGAACAACTTAGCAGAAAAATACACTTAATTGGCTGTTAGTTTGAGGTTTATTCCTAATGCACAGTGGACATTCTTTATATTTGGAAGCCTCCTTGCCAGATTAACAGACAAAGCAACATTACTTTATACTGTGCAGTTTGAAAGTTGAATATCATAAGGGCACATGTTTGTATTTGACAATGTAAACAAAATCCTAGCATACATAACATGACAACAATATTATGTAATAACCTATGAAGGTTTAATTTCCCCATACAAGAACTTTAAAAGCAGCAATAAAATATATACACCCAGAAATGCTATAGTAACTGCTCAATGTTTCCTAATAACTTTTTGCTTAACTCACATTCCCTTGAGCAGTCTGCCTCAACTAATATTGGATGGTGCACATTCTAAATCTATATGATTTAATTTTTTAAACAGCTAGTTGCAAGATATCAAAACAATTGAAATGGCGATAAACTAGCCTGCTTTTGTCTCAAGAGAGAAGACAGGGACATGATGTTTTGTCCAAGTTTGAAATAAAATAGGCTTTCTATACTTTGTACATATGCTTTGCACATCCTTGCCATAAATATGTGGAAAAAATAAACCATATGTGCTTTTGCAGTTAAATTGTTAAGACCTTCATTATTGTATAACCTTATTGTGAAAATGTATACGTTACTGTTTACAGCAAATTTGAAATGCAGTTCAAGTGACTTTGAATTGTTGTCCATATAATTATGACACATGGCTAGCGTGGCTGCAAGCCTCTAAGAATACCTGGAAGGGAAACAAAAGTACGGTATGCAAAGGCAGCCTGGAATCAGAAAGTTTGGTTAGTGCAGTTTTCAGTGATTTAAATAGTCATTAAAACAAACTTTGGGTGTTTGTTTTCTGTAGTACATTGTGTGAAACAAAGGTATCCGGAAAAAATTCTCTGCTGTAATGGCTCTCATTTCAGTACCAAACATGGATAAAAAATCTTTTCAACCAAAAATCTTTCTTACAGACAGTTCATTCTTTTTATAAACCTCTACGCTAATCATCATAAATCATCTACTTCAGACACAGTCTGGGAAGTTTAGAATGATTTGGATCCTACAGTCCTATCAGACATGTAGAATTCTAAAGTTGAAAGCTGGCTAATTACTTTTGCTGTTTTAACAAGAATATAGCATGTGCCTAATATCATGTATCACATGCTTACTAAGAAAATTATTTTAGTCCTTATAAGGGCTTACAGGGCAGACAATTTGTATTTGGCTTATTCAAGCTTTGAGCAGACATAATATCTCAGATTCAAAAAAACAAAATTTTTGTTTGGATTATTGAAAGAAAGAAGACCAGCAACACATGTTTTTAATCCAAAACCAGATACTTTTGCAGTGGTTTCAGCAATGCAAAACTATTCAGCACTAAATCCTATTGAGTTCAATGGAATTTGTTCCTATTAATGTATCCATAAATTTGCAGCCAAAGTGTGTGTGTTGTGTACCAGGCAACACATGACCTGTTGTATCATTTCAGAGACATTTCCTTACCAGATTCCCCAGTGCCTTCAACAGTGAGAGGCTTTCTAATGTACTTGAAAAGTTCTTAAATATTCAGAGAGATATCTACCTTGAAAGTTGAACACTTACACCTTCTTCAAACATCAGAATTGGCCATTGAAATGTTTTATGACACTTTACCTTATGTCATAAAATGCTTTATAATAATTTTATATCATGATTTTTTAAAAATAAAAAATGCCATATGTGAATTCCACAGGAGTCATGGGTCCTAGATTTTAGACACACCGTGTAAGATAGCTCATTTCAAGGTATCTTGGTAGAATATTTTGCCATATGATGCATGAGTTAAAAGTTTGCAGACATGAGAATTTTAGTAGAGTATCAACAATTTAATCAAACTTTTATTCCAATACAATTAGTCCTCATGTTGTGACTGCAATTGGAAACAGTATTTTGGTCATTGAATAATACTTGTCATTAAGTAAAACTACAACTACTAGTGGGTAGCCCTAGAAATTAATTAAATTGTCATTTCTCTACTTTTAATAAATGATTAAAAGGAAGAAATGTACAATTACATGGATTTTAAGTCTCTTTCTATGGTATCCCTATTTCTGTATGTAACTCATGTAAATGGTTTCAACTCTTTAAATAGAAATGTAGATCGTAGCTTTTATTATGCTTGCAAAGTATTTCCTATCTCACTTGCAAGCACAAGTTCCTGATTAAATAATATAAGCTGTCAAATACGGTAGAAGTATTTCTGTAAAATTAAATGTAGTTGGCTTTTCCTTAGCGTGAGCAAGAGAATGCTATGGCCCGTCTTAAAAAGCAGCAGCAAGAACTTGAACACATGAGACTTCGGTACCTTGCAGCAGAAGAGAAAGAATTAGGGAAGACACAACGGCAAGAGCTAGAGGATATCAGAAATGAACTGAACAGGTATTGTACCATTTGCTGGATTTTTACTTCTGCTGCTGAATAGGTGAAGGTTCAGCTAAGTCAAATTTAATTGGCTGTCAGTCCTGTAAAAGAACACAGCTTTTTGTCCCTTAGGTAATATTTGCCCATTTATAAAATGTAGCAACCTTGTTTTATAGGAAATCTATGCCAAAGGCCACCAGACCTAGTTTTTTATCTTGACTGTAGCAAATAATACAGCAAGATTTTTTTTTTACCTCTGTTCTAAGCAAACCTTTTTGCTAGATAAAAAGACATATTAATAGTTCTCACATGTCTCGTGAGCATAACACTTGCTATTTTAAATGGCTAAGTACTTCCAGTACTTTTAAACTATATATTTTTGAATGTTTTCAAACTCTTTAATTCTTAATCAAGATCACTCAAATTTGTACACTTGAGAAAAGCACTTGTGTCTTCCAGCAGAGGAATTATGCAATAAAATTTGCATTGAGACTCTTCTAATTAGATAATAGTGTCTGTTTCTTTTCACTTCAACTAATTTCAATAGAAAGCTGGCTTTGAAAAGCAAAAGAGCAGGATGTAGCATATAACTCAGTGTAATTTTTCCTGTTAGATTGAAACAAGAAGAAGACAAGAAAAAATCACAAGATGGCCAAGAGTTGTTGGGAGTCCAATTGCAAAATGCTCACTCTGGGAAAGGAGACGAAGCTTTGGATGACTACCTTGCACGTCTAATAGAGGAGAGGGATACCTTGTTGAGAACAGGTGTTTATAATCATGAAGATCACATCGTAAGTGAGCTTGATCGTCAAATCAGTGAAGTGCTTATAAAAAGAAATAGAAGCAAGTAGCAGGACTCAGAGAATTGGTCATATATATATGTGTGTGTGTGTGTACATTTTTTACTTCCAAAATTCAAGTTTCAGCAAATGGTAGATTGAATCAGATTTTGAAGGATTTGTGTATATACTCTTCTGTCTTCCAAGACTTACTGCTGTATTCAAACATCACTACACTACTTTTGAGAAATGAGAAGAAGCATTGACTACTTCAATTATTTTATTATTTTTAACCTATTTATTTATGTCAATTGGTCAGTATTGCAAAAGCTTTTATTTACACAGTGGAAGTATTTCTTGTCAGAATTTTTTGCTTGCTTATTTTATTACATGTCTGATTTTTTAATACATTTATACTTAATATTTATAATAAAATGCCATTTTAATAAAACTGCATTTAGGAAAATTTCCTACAGTAATTTGTAGTAACTTTTAAGCAAAATTGAGATTACATCGCACCTTGACATTTAATACTTTTCTTCATACCACAGATTTTGCTTTAAACAAACTACTATACTTATTCAGATGATTGGTTGTTTAACAATAGGTTGTATGAATAAGCCCTTATTTAGGTTGAAAAGCACAATTCTTACTGACAAGTAGCTGGATCCTAACCAAGTTATGTTGATCTCAGTTTTCTGTATTAATCACAATTCAGTTAAGATCCATCAAGCAATGGCACCTGATTTATCTGGTCCATATTTGTACTGAAGTAAATGGTGGAAGAGTATTTGGAAAATTTGGTAGCGGATGGCCAAGTTTGTAAGTGCATTTCTCTGATCTGTAAAAGGAGATGGATTACTTAATATCACATCATTTATAAACACTGCATATCAAATAGTTGTCAGAATAGATTAATGTTTTCCTTACACCAATATTATTTTCATCCATATATTAAAATTTATATATGGAATTAAGTGTGGGGTTATCTGTATATCTGGAAGCTACTGCCTATATCAGTTGTCCAATCCAACACTAAACAAGGGCGCATTTGTTTGGATATTACTATGCATGCATCTCATTACACAGTGATTTTACATGTGTAAGATTTTGTGATATAAATAATCCAACATAGCAAGCTATGGTTCTATGCTTAAAATTGGAGATGAACCGGAGATGAACGAGAACGACCCTTCCTCTTCCCTCCTCAAAATTTAAAAGAAAAAACAAAAAACAAAACAAAAAACAAATGGAAAATAAAATGGTTAATTCAACAGTATAATTATCCATATGTTGGATTTAATTATTTAATTAAATTTAATTATTAAATATCCATCTCTTTAAAGGATATTTTAAAAGATGTTGGTAACTTAGGCTATACAAATAATTTACACATAGATACTCTAATCCTAAATTTTACATTATCGTGCTTGCCATGTTTTATTTATATTTTATTGATATTCCTGCTTGATTGTTGTGCGATGCCCAGAGTCATTGAAAGTTGGGCAACATACAAAATTAATAATAATATATTTACCACCAGGTAAAAAGGTAAAAAGTAACAATGGAGAAAAGTTTCAACACAGAATTGATTTTGGACTTAAAATCATATCATGCCGTTTGTTTCTGCCTGAGTTAGCCATATAAACTTTGGTGATGCATAATTCTCAGCAATATGCTCAGTGCTTGTTATGGATGGAGTGTCAAATGTGCATGTGAAGTATGGGATTGTTTTATTCTGTGGTTTGGATAGGAATCTACATCTTAATTCTTTCATAGATACTAGTCTGAATGTTGCCTGCCCTCACCATTTCTTTGTGCATACAAGTGAAAACATTCACAAGGCATTTTTCCTCTCACTAATTAATAAGGAACTTAGTTTATCTTTTATTTTACATCCATAGTTTAAAATAACTGAGACTGCAGTGTAGCCTTAGTCAGGATGATGCCAGAAGTGATGGAATTCTGAATGTGATATGGGTAGAAAGAAAATGGGAAAATATCACTTTAACACTGGGCAGTGTGTCTTCAATAACAGCCCCTTTTTCTTTTCCAGTTTCTTATCTAATGAGGAATTCAAAATAATTTAAAGATTTGTGACTTTAAATGTTGTAATATGAACAATGGGTTTTTTTCTGATGACAAATTATTATTTTTGTAAACTTAAAATATTTTATATTCTATATTGAATGTATGAAAGTAATGTGAAAGTTTACTTCAAAAATTGGTCATAAAATGGGATTTTTTTAGTAAAAAAAATCATCTACTACATACTGGTGGTGAAAGAAACTCAATTTTTCCGCATTTTGAGACAAAATACATTTGTATTTGCCACACATATTCTGTTAGAATATTTTCATTACACTTCAAATCTCACTTCTACACTGAAAATCATATATCTTACCATATTTGTGGCTTTGTTTATATTAAGGATTTTAAAAGGTATTTAAAAATATATTTACATTGTAAATCTAGTCACGCTGTAATTCATTTTAAGTAACCACATTTTTGCTGATTATTCTTTTAAAGGACTGAAAGGGGGGGAAAATCTTCAGTTAATTTTCTTTAACTGTGCCATTTGCATTTAAAGATTTTGTAATGTTGAACAGTTTACTGCTATATGTGATATATTTGCAATAAATCACTTCCATAATTATTATCCTAGAATTTAAATAATGCAATAGTGAGCAATTATAATTTGTAAATAATTTAATTTATTGCATTGCTAACATGTCATAAAAGAAAATGCCAATAAACCTGAAATATTCTTTTATGTTTCGTGCAGTTATATTGTATAGGTTTAAAATGTAAATCAAATATTGAATTTGCAACTAACTCTCTAACACTAGAGGGGGCCTTAACATTAAATAAAGGCCATTTTTTCAATCTAAAATGTATTTTAAGGTTTGGTGAGCATGAATTCAACATAAACCTTGAAATACGTGTTATCTAACTCCTTTTAAAATAGCATTAAATATTATTTCACATACATTCCTTTGAAGATAAAAATACCCAAGTAGAGTCCATTATACTTTCTAAGTATCTTCTTAAGTATATCTGTGAAGCTTATGCAGCACTTGATGCTTTGCAGCTCCAAAGATGCCTTTTCACAAGGAATTGGATAGCAAATCAAGTTTAACCAAGTCAGTTATCACAAGAGAAAGTGGGCTAGTGTCTATTGGTTTCCAATTTTTCTCCACAAACCAGGTGATGAATATGGATATATTTGGTTCCATTGTAAATTTTTCTTTGGTGTGGAAGAGATCCCTATATGTGCAGGATGGAACATTATTTAACACTTGCAATATTCAACTTCGACACTTCCTAATAATCTGTAGGAGAGCCAGTTTGGTGTAGTGGTTAAGGCATCATGATGGAAACCAGGAGAGTTCTAGTCCACCTTAAGTACAAAGCCTGCTGTTTGACCTTGGCCTAGTCACTTTCTCTCAGTCCTAGTAAGGAAGCAAGGGCAAACCACCTCTGAAAAACCTTGTCAAAACTGAAGGGACTTGTCTAGGTAGTCGTCTTAAAAATGGGACACAATTAAACAGAAGCAAGCAAAAAGTCTGTAATGAAACAATAAGTATTTATGAATATGTTCTTATTATTTATAAAATTGCTTTGTCTCCTTTATTGACTTGATTTTCATTCCAAACAGCAAAACAGCACTTAATTTATTAGCATTATCTGATTCACTTTTTCCACCTTCATTGTTAACAGCTACACATAGATAAATACTAAGAAAAATTAAGTAGTGTAAATAGAGGCAATAGAATTTATTTTTAGAAAAGAAATGTATTCTGGGATAGTCAATAAGAAACTCCTGCTTAAAGTATAATTATTTGATTATGCATGTTGTATCAAATAATGCCTATTCCCTAGCGAAGACACCACAGGCAAAATAATTTATACTTCATTTTATTTTGCTACTGCTATTTCAAAATAATCATGAACTATCTTTAGAATGGGAAGTGCCAAACATGCTATTGTTCAAGGAAAACCTAGAAAATGATGGCTCCATATGCTTAGATCTTATTTCATTTACTTCTCTGGAGGGTTGCATTTCTGTTTTCATTAGAAATGTTTTTACAGATGTTGGCTCTCCAGATATGAACTCTCTGGTGGAGAGGTGGTCGGATATTTGGCATCTAGAACAAAAAAGAAAAGAAAAGAAATACGCTCTGAAAGCCTAATATAGAGAGAAATAATTTACTGTCTTTATGATGTATAAATGTATAACAGCTCTACAGAGGCTTTAAGACTGAGTAATTGAATTTGAGCTAATACAGAAATATTTGCAATTAGTCTTTTAGAACGAAATATATCATTCATCATGATAAAGGACTAAAAAAGCAGCCATAAATAACATTTCTGGAAAAGTTGTGCCCACTAATTTATATTATTTTCTTTTTCATTTGAAATAAATATATTTATTTGAATATATACAGTGTGTGTGTGTGTGTGTGTGTGTGTGTGTGTGTGTGTGTGTGTGTGTGTATATATATATATAT